TTTTTTTTTTACGCTGCTAACATCATGCTGTGTTTGGAGATTCTTGAAATTAAGATTCTCAAACTATACTTGTACTGAAAATTATTCCGCCTTAAAGTACGGCAAGAATTTATCGATCGAATTTACTTGATCGAAAACATGAACTTAACATGAAATCTGCTACAGAATTTAGGAATACATATATTGATTCCCATAAATCCTCAGTCACATAATAATTTCTAGGAAAATCCTTGGCTTAAATAAATAAATTGTATTATTTAAAGTCTGAAATTTTCTCAGTCATTACAAAGCTAGTAATGGAGGTGTTATCACAGCGCCCAAATAAAGTGGATGTGTTGAGCGTGACAAACATGACAACAAGGAGAAAAGATGGACATCCGTCGATATACAACGTCCGGCAGGAGAATGAGCCATTACACCACCAAGACTGCAGCCACTGGTGCTTGCCCGGCGTGCCCGATTCGTGGAATGAGCTTCTTTACGCACTCTTACTCAAGCGGGAACTGTCTAAGCCCTAAGGCATGAAACTGAAGCACACGTTATGTGTTTATATACTAAGGCCTCGTTCACTTCGCAGATTTGAGTTTTCAATTCAAGCTGAGATGTGACATTTTTTGAGAGCTTTTCACTGTAGCAGAAAAAGTTAGATGTGACATTTTCTGAGAGCTTTTTATTGTAGAAACTTAAAACTGAAAACTCGAATCGGTGAAATGAACGAGACCTAAGTTGTCATACCCTGTTTTCTCAAGTCAGAACAATGTTTGTGGCCCAAGGAGAAAGGTCGAGGTATATTCAGACATTTTGTTCATGTATTTCCAATTCAAAAGAAACCTGGACATATTTTATACTCCATCATATTAATGCTGTTTGTGGTAGGAATTTGAGGATTAATTTTACTATTTTCGTCTTTTTCTTAGAAATTATGTTTGAAAGAAAGATATTTGCACACTCTTAATAATCATGTTACATAAGTACGAAAAAAGGATTGGACGTTTTATTGGCATTAAGCAACACAACTAATAGAAAGTTGTCTCTATCCGTGAGTTATATATTATGGGACCTACTCCATTCAGCACCACTAATCCCTTTTAGTATCGATCGTGGACATGTATAAAAAGAAGAGCAATCCTTCTGGGGTACCTGGACTATCACTTATCCGTTTCCCCTTGGAATCAAAGTGTCAATTTTCGTTCGCTTTGATTTGACAATAATGCTCCCAATCATTCATAATCTTATTACTAAACATGAGTGGATTGAATTCTTCATTTCCCAGCAAGCACTAATACAGTGCTGTCTCTCCAAGATGCCAAAAATATATAATAAAATAAAAAAGTGGAGAACACAGAGTGAGCAAAAGAGTACGTCCAACAGTCCACATTTATTGATAACACTGGCGCACACACTGTGGCAACCTCAATTGGATAGGATAATTGATCTTTTCCTACTAAAATGCACGAACTTACTTTCTTTTTCTTGTTCACTCCTTTTAATTGGAAAATGGGTATTGCTCATACCTAATTTCACAATCAAGAAGCACAACTTGAGCCCCAATCCGATTCGGACATGATCGTACAGTGACCTTCTTGGCAGCACTGAAACACTCGGAGCAGTCTGAGCTTGTGAGGTCTTGGTCACAAGAATCATGCCCATATGCAAAAGCATTAGGGTTAGGATAAATATCAAAAAATAAAATAAAATCATAATTCTCGTGATCTGGAGTTGCAAACTTCAATTCGTCGAGAACATAAGCTAGACTAGTTGCAAAAGGATCACCCGCCTTGTACGTGCTTAAGTTGCACAGAAATTTCTTAACTTTAGTATCTGGACTGCTTCTGACCATTATAGAAATGCACAAGAATTCCATGATAACTACTATTGCTAAAAATTTTAGAAGAACGCCCGTTTTTCTGTTGTTTTTTTTTTCTCTCTCTCTTTTTCCTTTCTTGCCCTCATCGGAATTGGATTTGACAAAACTATCATATACTATTAGAAATGTTATTGGTTTTTCCATCAACATGCATCACAATATTGATAATCCGTTTTTTGTCTGATATGATTGGTTACTATTTTGACCATTATCTTGTATGTCCTTTTCTTTTCTTTCATTCTTTGTCTTTCTTTTTTTCTTTTTTTTTTTTTTTTTTTTCCTTAGAGGCATTTTATTAATGTATATAAACATAGTTTGGCATGTCTTAAACATGCACTAGCAGCTAGCTAGCTAATAGGCTTAACCGATCCTGATAACGTCTTCACCTCTAGAAGGATGAGAAATATAAGTTGGACTTCTATTTTCTTTGCTTTGGACCATATCACTTGATATTAATGCCAAATTACAATAATTTTACTGTGCATGTTCAGATCTCTGTCCCATAGTTGGTTAATACAAAGGGCTAATACTCTGTTTTTTCTTTCAAACTCACTAAATCCCCACCAGCTTCAAGCTTGGCCTCCAACATTTACTTCTTTTTTTCACTTGTTGGAGTCGTTTATGAAACTTTAATGGATATTTACGACCACCATCTGTTCTGTATACGTAAACAAATAAATAAACAGGGGTGAAATGCTCAATGTTCAAAATTCAAATATATATATATATATATGTATATGTATATATATCTGTACGTATTGATAATAACGAAAACAAAGTTCGATATATTTATACTTCACTTTTACTTTGACAAAATTTTAGTGTGCAACAGCTGCGATGTTCTGACTAAGTAGAAGACACAGGTAGATTTGTAACGGCCTAAAGGGTTTAGTCTCTAAATCATGCTGTATATATATATATATATATATATATATATACCCCTTTTTTCTTTTTTTCACCATTTACATATTATCTGTAAATATCCTTCTATATGGCCCCAACCCAAAGTTCTCCAAATGGTTAATTATTTACGCCAATACGTAAATTGATACATTATATACATAGATATACATATAAATAGCTAGATGTATATATAAGAAATAGATAGAGTACTGCTAGTGAGCAGAAGTAAGGAAACCAGCAAGTTCTCCAAGTTCTTCAACCTCCTTTGCCAATACTTGAACCTTTTCCACTACCTCCATCAACAAGAAGACAAAGCTTGCGACTGCGAGCGCGTCGATGTTCTCCGTCTGTCCTAGCTTGGAATTCGCAGACACGGCGGAGCTCAGCTCTACTCTCATCGCCTTCACTTTCGGGGCTATTAGCTCTGCCTGCTGGCATTTTCTCATCTTCTTTATGCTGTCCCCAAGCTCCCTGAGGCTCCATGCAAGTGAACACCCCACTTCCTCACATTGCTCTTTAATTGATTGCCTCAGGGTTGTTGAGGGCTAATATTGTCAATAAAATTACAATGTAATTAGCCAATTTCCTCAAACAATTTTCGTATTTATCATTAAATATTCTATGTCAGTTGATCCTAATTCCTTCTAGCGTCTTAATGAATTAGAAACTTTCATGCAGAATTACGTAAATTCTTGTGTTAAAATAAGTGAATTCTGTATTGGTTGAATTGAAATATTGTTAATCTTCATAGGTGTACCTGTCGAGGGGATTGAAGACAATGTTTGAGGGAAACAAGAGAGGCCGCTAGCTCTCTGAGGAGCTCTCCGAGTTTCAAGTACTTTCCCCAAGGGTAGTAAAGTCCAAATTTCCCATGCCATGGTTCCCATTTTGCAAAGTTAGCCTGAAATATTACTTAAACTAATTATAACATGGAAAGAAATATTGCCTTTTCACTTTTTTTTTTTTTTTTAATGAAACTTTTTCCAAATGCTTAATAATTTATAATTTAGAGATGAAATTAATCTTGCTTAATACCAGTAGCTCATCCTTTGCTTTTGAATTTAGCACTGATTTGCAACTACTGAAACTGCTGGCGCTTGGCTCGTTTTCCTTTTCGTTTGCTAATCTGAAGTAATCCTCCATGCATCCTACACGTATCCAACGTAATTAATTAGCTTTATTTTTTTTTTTTTGAGAATAATTAAGTAGCTTTATTAAAGAAAGCAACATTGGAAATATGATATAATACTAAACTTAAACACTTAATTAATTTGCACTATGAGCGTCATTACTTTAATCCAAGTTCTTTAATATTTTAGGGGAAAAGGTAGCAAATTAGATACTCAAATAAGAATAATTTTGAGCTACGTCTCAATTATCCTAGTTGCATTTACTATTGACTCTATTATTCCGAATGCTTATATTTTAATCGAAGTATTGATCACTGACAACCTTAACAAAATAATATTTAATAATAATTTTGCTGACAAGATTAAGCATCATGAGGAGTAGTACTATACATACGCCAACAATATTTTCATGAAAGTGGATCTTTTTTTCTTTAAAAAAAAATAAGCGAAATTAAGGATTCCAATTTAAATCGAGCACTTCTATTCATCCTCGTACGTTAAAACTCCGCTATTCATATAAGGTGGACCCAACTTAATGGGACCGACTTTTTTGTGAGCGATAGGAAATATTTTTACGTCCATTGGAATGAATATACCATTTTTCATTTGAATTTGGTTTGGATGAGAGAGTAACGAACCTACCTTGAAGAGATTCGGCAAGGTCTTGGAATTTGGAGGCAGTAGAGTCGTGAAGTTCATCACTAGCCCATGTGGGAAAGACCACCAAGCTAATGAACACGCAAACGGCGAAGCCCATTCCTATCGTTGAGAGGCGTTCTCGGGCTATTTCCAACACCTTCTCCGCACGCAAACCAGACACGGCCACCAGATTGAACGTTAAGATAAATATCATCAATCCATAGTCGTGTCTCTTCTTTATTTTCGGCACCAATCTAGTGTATGTCGCGCCCGCACCTTATCAACACAGTTGATTATTTCGTTAACAACCGTTTTAATTAGTTTTACGTCCAACAAGATATAGATTTGTTCCTAATGATATATCAAAAAGATAACCAATCTTTTTATAACAAAAATTCGGTGGAGCTATGAGGAGGATGTATAAATAATTTCCTAACTCTTATTTGAATGACGATGATGATGATGATGCATGGTGGTGGTGGGGGTGGGAAATATCTCGTGATCCAAAGTGACATGATGTTTTCTCGAAACCGATTTTTATAAGAAAAATGCTTGAGGTCATCACTACAATACTAAACATCACAAATGTTGTGGTGGGTATGACCACTAGACGTATGGCCAGTTCATAAACACACACACACTAGTACTAATTAGTGCCCTTTCGTTAGCGACAAATATGATTGATTTTAGTGATCAAGCACTATAAAAATCTGGAGTTTATTACGTGTGGCGGCGTAAGTGGCGCACCCTTTTCTAAAAAAATGGAAGTGCGATTATGCAAAGTTTCTAGCTAATAGTTCCACCGAATTTGGCAGACAACTTAGTACTCATAATTTTGTTTTAGCAGTAAATTGACATATATTACATGTACGTACATATTCAACTAGTTTCTAGCTAATAGTTCCATCAAATTTGGGCAGACAACTTAGTACTCGTAATTTTGTTTTAGCAGTAAATTGACATATATTACATGTACGTACATGTTCAACTACTTCCAAGAATATTGGAGCTATGTGCATATACGTCGTAGTTCTTACCGAAGATAAATACAGAGATGGCAATGATTATGGAGTTGCCAGTCCCACCAACTTCTTGAGCAATATATGCAGCCAAACACCCTAATCCTCCTCCTAATATAGTGCCAATTCCTCGGTTTAAGCCCTTCCCAAGTGTAGCTCCTGAGACATGTAATTAATCATAATATTGTCACGTTTAATACATATTTCCTTTCACAAAAACAACGAGAAAAGTAAAGTAGACATGACACCAAAAGAGAATGAATCTCTTTTTACAAAAGCAAACGATAAAAATAAAATGGACATGACACTAAAAGAGAAGAAAAAATCTCCTTTTATATCTATTGACCAGAAACCGTCCAGTATTTTGTTAAGTGTTGATAAAAAAAAAATAATAATAATAATTACCTGCGTAGAACTCAAAGATGACCACCACAGTCATTATAGCCCACATGGCGTTGTCTCCAACTTGATCATAGAGAGGATCAAGCAGATAAAGAAGCGACACCAAAACAAGAGCAATTCCAACTTTGGCGCTGTGAATCAGCTTTCTGACGTCTTGCTTATTGCTTGTGATCTTCTCTCTCGTATGGGAAACAATATTGTGGACAAAAGAAAGTGCTTTTGGCTCCTTCTTTTCCTCTTTACTTGGAGGTTTTGGTTCAACCTGCGACTCTAAATGTGAAATGGATATTGTCACATGAGTTGAATCCATTTGGCCTTAAAAAAAAAATAGGCTTCTCTTCACACTGATCTTCCTTGAGATTTCCAACTTTTTTGCAGCTTATTTATCGAGTTTTGTGTACTGAATATAGGATTCTCACTTTGTTGTTGATAAATTTTGATCCGAGAAACCACTTATATACACACACACATAGCTTTCTCACGAAACGTCAAAAGTGGGAGGATACATGTAATAGTCTAAGCTCCTATAGTGGACAGGCCATTTCCACTTCAACCAGACAAGATATGGCCTAAAAACTTGAGACAATAATAATATTGATTTTGATAAATAACATATAATATATTAATAATTTGTTAATATTTGCGTGTGCATTGTATCTCTCATATATATTCTGTGTATGAATTAGTGATTGTAGGTAGTGGAACACGCTTGCATGGCACGAGAAGGTACCTTGATGCACACACACACACACACACACAAAAAAAAAAAAATATATATATATATATATATATATATAACG